GGCACTGTCTGCCAGATGTAGGCTGTGAGATAGATTGTGCCACCTATGTGTTCTTAGCCTGCCCGCCCGTGAGGGTCGTGACGAGGCCGCCATGAGTGATGGTGTGTGTGTCCACGTGGTTTCCATATTGTTCGATTAAAGAGAAAAATCCCAGCTGCAATAGGAAATTTCTCTTAAATCGATTTTGATTGGTACAAGCCAATTCCTCTCTCTTAAATCCGTACTTTCTCTTAAATAAGTTCTCTTAAACCGTAGCCGCTACTGTACTGCTGTGTGCGCCACATCGATCGGCAGTGTTCTGTCACGCACGGTGTCTGTGGACACCATGGTGTCTGTGGACACCATGACCAAACATTTTTGTTTCGTGAGCACGTGGCGCGTCTTTCGCTGGCATGAGCGCCCGCGGTGAGATCTTGCCATTGGGATGCTCAAGAGCCGTTTCCGAGTGCGCCACGTTCAGTTTTCATCGCGGTGTCGGCGATTGCGATGCAGCATACGGGCCTTTGGTCCGGCAGAAGGCGTGTAAATTTAGCAACAACCCTCTGGCGTTCGTCCGCGCTAATCACTTTTCTCTCGGTAAACAACCAATTTTGCACCAAATCGCCAAGGAGAACATTGCACGATCCCCACATACCCATCTACACAGCTAGTTGCGAATGACATGCCGCGCAGGAGGGCTGGACGCACGCCTCAGCGCCACGTTAACACCAACCCCCTCTAGAGCATTTGCCTCTTCCGGCAGAAAGAGGCATAGGAAAAAATATATATACAGTCTCCCTTCTTCCCCTCGCTCCTCGACAAGCTTTTGCTTAGACATGGGTTGTAGCGAAGGGGGGGGTCTTTCTGGCGAGCAGGGCTAGACTCCCCCTCAAGGGTTGACCGAAACCTTCTTGCTGCAGCGCATCCACCGCGAGGCGTGCGTGTGGTGGTGGAGTTGGGTCGGCACTGATGGGGTCAGGCGGGAAAATGTAGATGCGCGGGCCTTTCTGGCCGTCGGCGTTGGCAGTGATGCCCATCTCATTTTTGTG